GCGTAACACACCCGATTTAAGGACACTAACTGCTATTCAATCTATAACAGTGAAAAAAGAGTTTTGTTTTTTTAAATCCAAGCTATTGTAACACCAGATCTAATTAGTGGCACTGGTCACCGTATCCACTGTTAGCGTAACACACCCGCTTTAAGGACACTGACTGCTATTCAATCTATAACAGTGAAAAAAGTGTTTTTTGTTTTTAAATACAAGCTTTGTGTCACCAGATCTAGTGGTGGCACTGGTCACCGTATCCACTGTTAGCGTAACACACCCGCTTTAAGGACACTGACTGCTATTCAATCTATAACAGTGAAAAAAGATTTTTTTTTTTTTAAATCAAGCTATTGTGACACCAGATCTAATTAGTGGCACTGGTCAGCGTATCCACTGTTAGCGTAACACACCCGCTTTAAGGACACTGACTGCTATTCAATCTATAACAGTGAAAAAAGAGTTGTTTTTTTTTAAATCCAAGCTTTGTGTCACCAGATCTAATTGGTGGCACTTGTCAGCGTATCCACTGTTGGCGTAACACACCCGCTTTAAGGACACTGACTGCTATTCAATCTATAACAGTGAAAAAAGTTTGTTTTTAAATCCAAGCTATTATGACACCAGTGAGTGGTGGCACTGGGCACCGTATCCACTGTTAGCGTAACACACCAGCTTTAAGGACACTGACTGCTATTCAATCTATAACAGTGAAAAAAGATTATTTTTTTTTTAAATCCAATCTATTGTGACACCAGATCTATTTAGTGGCACTTGTCAGCGTATCCACTGTTAGCGTAACACACCCGCTTTAAGGACACTGACTGCTATTCAATCTATAACAGTGAAAAAAGTTTTTTGTTTTTAAATCAAGCTATTGTGACACCAGATGTAATTGGTGGCACTGACTGGGGAAATGGGCACTGCACTGTGAGCCTGACACAGAAGCTGGCAGCAGTGGCAGACAACTGACTGCTATTCAATCTATAACAGTGAAAAAAGTTTTTTGTTTTTAAATCCAAGCTATTGTGACACCAGATGTAATTGGTGGCACTGACTGGGGAAATGGCACAGCACTGTGAGCCTGACACAGAAGCTGGCAGCAGTGGCAGACAACTAAGTGCATTTACATTACATAGAAAAATAAAATAAAAAAAAAGCATACCCTTATCCCTAACCTAGCTATGCTTTCCCCTATCTTATGAACAGCAGCTACACTTTCCCTCCTCTTACTAAGCATGCAGCTTGAGAATGAATCTAAAATGGATGCTGTCCAGTAGGTGGGAGGGTCTGCTAGGGAGGCTGTGCTGCTAATTGGCTGGAATGTGTCTGCTGACTGTGAGGTACAGGGTCAAAGTTTACTCAATGATGACGAATAGGGGGCGGGTCGAACCGCGCATATGTTCGCCCGCCGTGGCGAACGCGAACATGCTATGTTCGCCAGGAACCGTTCGCCGGCGAACCGTTCGGTACATCACTACATCCCACACATCTCCTCCCCTTAGCCTGAGAGTTAACACAATTAGCCGTACAGTTCAAAACATACTTTTTACCCAACTTTCATAACTCTAAAACTATACATCCAATATTAATAAAAGTTCGGGAGATAGATATAAGTCACCTTTGACCGACCGCAAGCACATTTTCATGCCCAAAACAGTTCCAGAGAATCAGGCTGTGTGGCCGGTCTATTTCCCATGTTAAAGTCAGTTCAAACAGACGGACGACAACCATTCGAATTGTCGAATGAACTGTCGACTGAACTGTCCAATGAACTGTCGAATGCATTAGTTCTAGGGAAGGTAAAACTTCAGCTGTGTGTTCTATGAGTTTGATGGCACACCGCTGATGGCATTCGAATGAATCAAAATGGCCGCTGCCACGTGTTCGGTTTTCTAATGGCGGCCACTTCGACTACTTCGGCACTTCGGCTGTATCCGAAGTGCCAATTTAAAGTTGCAACACTGCTCCAAGGTAATTAAAGGGCCAGAAACAGCATTATAAAAATCCATTATGACCAAATCAGTTCCTTAACCCCTCAAGGACACATGACATGTGTAACATGTCATGATTCCCTTTTATTCCAGAAGTTTGGTCCTTAAGGGGTTAAAGGGCAATACATCCCAGGGGCCATAGTCACATGGCAGGAGGCTGGCAATCAATCTTCTCCAATGCCCAGTGGTGAGGTCGGTTTCGCCACAATCAGTATGTATGTATCTGTGTGTATGTGTATCAGAATGTATGTATCTGTGTATGTGGGCATCCTTGTGTATGTGCGTGTATGTGTGTGTGTGTGTGTGTATCAGAATCTATATATCTGTATGTGTGCTTATATCTGTGTGTATGTGTATCAGAATGTATGTATCTGTGTATGTGGGTATCCTTGTGTATGTGTGTGTATGTATGTATCTTTGTGTGTGTGTGTGTGTGTGTGTGTGTGTGTATCAGAATGTATATATATGTATGTGTGCTTATATCTGTGTATATGTGTATCAGTATGTATGCTTATGTGTGTGTATATGTATCAATGTGTTTGTCTTTAGTGCCTATCTGCGTGTGCTTGCATGTTTAATTATTCCTCTAACAAGTTAAATGCAGACACTGAGCAGGAAGGATAAAGAGAGCTTATGCTTTGTTTCTGATTGTTGGGAATTTCAAACAAAGACACAAATCCTTCATGGCAACAATGGCAGTAGGTGCAAAACATAGCTCCCCGATGAGCTGGTTAATGCACAAGCTATGAGGATGGTTAATTGTTGGAAATGTATAATATTAGGAGTAAAGAGGGGGAATTATCAAGTGGGCCTCAAATCCCTTATCTTACATACGGCATATGTGTTTCTATGATTTCAAACTGAGACCTGATTTATTAAAATCAGTCTACTGTCGGTTGCCGCATGTCTAGATCCTCCAGCACTAATCTGGAGTCAGAAGACTGCAGTGTAGCTTGGCATGCAACCTTTTACCAGTTCTAACCAGGGAGCCCCGGGCTACTGAGTATCTCAAAAGGCATGTAGGAGCAGAAGCCAAATGTTTGAGGGTTCGTTCTACATCCACAGTGGTACAACACTACCATCTAGTGCTAGAGCTCAGATGTTGCATGATCAAATCATTTAATATTTCTTTCATTAATATATTTGTTAAAAATCACACAATCCAATCAACAATCAAGACCCTGTAGGTGAGAACAGTAGAGGCAATGTCTAGTTTCTCATCCATTTAAGCCAGGATATTTTTAAGCGATTGATAATGGATTACAAGCACCTCTGAATAGTTTACTTGACTACAGCAAAGTAAATAGTTTAACTATTTGATCCATGAATGAAGAACTTTGAACCAATAGCTGAAATAAATGAATAAAAAATATGTTTGTTCTCCCAATGCATCACAAGTCATGATATTATTCATAAAATTAATAAAATACATAATGTGAAAGATCTTCCAAGATATGCGTTCAATAAACATCAAAGCGTCTCTGAATCATGTTTACTGTTGGTGTTTTTTGGGATTATAAATTCAACATAGAAGAACATAGGCAAATATTTAAGTATGATGGTTAACAAAGTACTTTTCTGCATAGCGTGTCCTCAATATGACAGTGCATATTGGGTTTCCATAATTTAATAATTACAGTGAGGTATTAGGCATGTGATTTTAAGCATGTGTTAATCATAGGTAATATATTTGCCAGTGCACTTTCAGAAGCTTAATCCAACAATTCTGTCTCATTTACAGGTTCTACACCTGACCATGGAAAGGTTGGCCATTTGTCTGCTGATGATAAGCACGTCTCTCAAGGCCATGATGTGCCCCAAGAGATGTTCATGCCAAAATGTGTCTCCATCCTTCACAATCCTTTGTACCAAGACTGGCCTTCTTTTTGTGCCCCCTACCATTGACAGGAGGACAGCAGAGTTGAGACTCATGGACAACTTCATAACTACAATTAGAAGGAAAGATTTTGCAAACATGACAGAACTTATACACTTAACTCTAACTAGAAATACCATTAGTCAAGTCATGCCTTATGCTTTCCTTGATTTGAAAGGCCTCCATGCCTTGCAGTTGGATAGCAACAGGTTAACTTTTGTCAGTGAGGAACATTTTAAGGGTCTGTTCAACCTCCGACATTTAATCTTGAATAACAACCAGTTAAGTTACATTGCTCCAGGATCATTTGAGGATTTTATAGACACACTTGAGGATTTGGACTTATCCTACAACAACTTAGTGAACATACCTTGGGAGACCATTGGTAGACTTTCCAGTGTTAACAATGTAGCGTTAGATCACAACCTCATTGATTATGTTCCTGAAGGGATATTCTCCAATTTACACAAACTGGCTAGACTGGATATGACCTCCAACAAACTGAAAAAGATTCCACCAGATCCTTTGTTTTCTAGAATCCCTGTTTATGCCAAATCTAAAGGCTCCCCAATAACCTCCCTAGTGCTCAGCTTTGGAGGAAATCCACTTCATTGCAACTGTGAGTTAATGTGGCTTCGACGTCTGACCAGAGAAGATGACTTGGAAACGTGTGCTTCACCCTTAGAGTTAATGGGCAAGTACTTCTGGTCAATAAAAGAGGAAGAATTTGTTTGTGAATCTCCCATGATAACCCACCGAACTCCTAAACAGATAGTCATGGAAGGCCAAAATGTGTCATTGAAGTGCAAAGCTGTTGGTGATCCTGATCCCTATGTGCGATGGATTTCACCAGATGGAAAGCTTGTTCCCAACAGCACAAGGACTATGTCCTATGAGAATGGAACTTTGGATATTCTCACAACCCTATTCTCAGATCGTGGGAACTTTACCTGTATTGCATCCAATCCAGCAGGGGAATCTACTGCTACCGTGGAACTCATTGTAAACCCATTCCCTAATCTTGCCAACAGCACCAACTGTGATAAGGAAGCAGAGTCAGGCCTCTCAGATATACTGACGCCAGCCAAGTCTAATGAAACTAAAACTCTCCACGATAAGAAGGTTGTGGTTGCAGAGCTGACCTCATCCTCGGCTCTCATCCAGTGGTTTCCCCAGAGTCACATCCCCAGGATAAGGATGTACCAAGTTCAGTACAATAGCTCGTCAGATGATATCCTCATTTACAGGTAGCTGAACAAACAGTCTGTGTTTCTGATGCTTTTGTGAATGTTTAACTAAATTAATATGTTTTACTGTGGGCACAATGGAGCTTGTCCCATGCAAGGAATAAAGTGACTGAATAATGACACACATTTAATGGGTTAAAGGGACAGTCCCATGGAAGAGCACAGCAAAATAATGACAGGGACATGTTTAATGGGTTAAAGGGACAGTCCCATGGAAGAGCACAGAAAATAATGACAGGGACATGTTTAATGGGTTAAAGGGACAGTCCCATGTCGGAGCAAAGTGACCTAATGACAGTGACGTGTTTAATGGGTTAAAGGGACAGTCCCATGTAGGAGCAAAGTGACCTAATGACAGTGACATGTTTAATGGGTTAAAGGGACAGTCCCATGTAGGAGCAAAGTGACCTAATGACAGGGACAATCGTAAAATGTTAAAAAGACAGTCCCACATAGATACAATGTCACTTAATGACATATCTGCATTTAGCAGATTAAGAGATTAAGATTTGAATTAATCTGTTTTATGAAGTGGGTAAGGAATAGCACTTAATTACCTTGTGAAAATGCAGCATAGTCTAGTAATAGTCCCCCCCCCCTTCCCCTCCCAGTGTAATGGTAACCAAAATGTAAATTCCCTTCTGTCAAACATCTCCCTCCCACACCGCCCATCAATTGGGATGGATGAATAAAATACACACTGCGCATGAAACAAATGAGTTTTATTTATTTAGCAATAGTCACAGATCCCTTAATTCTGTGTGTTTTGGTTCGTTTTCATAGCCACATATTATGTATTTTTAATTATTTTCATCATGCAGGGCATTTTATATTTACTGAGTCTCTCTATTTATCTGCACATTTTGCAATGGGTGAATGTAATTGTATCTTAATTTCTCCTGTTTCAGTAGATTCATTTTTTAATTGTTGGTTATACCATTGTGTATCTGGCATCTTGTTTTTTTGCCAAAGTAAATTACCACACGTTCCAACACAATCAAAGTAGCAAATGTGGATCTGAGGACGAGATGTTCATCGGCAAATTGTTTCTGTTATAAACGAGCTGCAATGTTCTTATCTTATCATGAAATCATTGAATGATCTATAAATTATACTGCTGATTATTCCGATTAATCAATACAACATTGGTGCAGTTCTATCACCTATTATTGCACTTTTGTTATTACCAGAAAAAAATCTAATTGAAAAAAACCAGTTGTCTGTTTCCCATTACACGCCATTCAGCTAATTGAGCTCCTTCAGTTACTGAGTTGTATAAACCAGCATTAGAATTAGTGTTTATTTCAAACCATCTAATAGGTTTTTCAAAAGATCAAATTAATAAATTCCTCTTTAAATCCTTCTGTAATTACTTGACAAATATGGATTGTTGGCAAAATCTAAAGACAGGCATTGAGGAGATTAATAAATACTCTGCAAACTCTGTCTGTACGTTATGTGATGACTGTGAGCACGATTGGCCCCAACGTGTGGAATCTTGTTTATCCATTCAGTAAACATCCAAATTATCTGACAGCTCCACTCACCCAACTGTCAAACGGCAAAGTGAGATTTTATTATTGAAATTATAATAATCTTTTATTAACGATTTTCACAGTCAATGAAGTACAGTCACAACAAGCGAATAATGACCCAATCTGAGAGGGCTCTGAGGAGGATGTAATAAGAAGGGGGTATATAGAATACAACAATAAATTATATGCAACACCATCGGGTCATTTATTTCAGAGTTATAGAGAGTTATACTTAGAAATAAAGGAATTATAGGGAGTGATGTGGCAAAAGGCGAGTCATAGGCAGGGTTATATAGAGTATGAGGAGGAGTTAAATGGAGTAATAGGAGGGGTTTTATGGAGTAATAGGAGGAGTTATAGGGAGGGTTATATGGAGTAATAGGAGGAGGTATAGGGAGGGTTATATGGAGTAATAGGAGGAGGTATAGGGAGGGTTATATGGAGTAATAGGAGGGGTTATAGGGAGTTTATATGGAGTAATAGGAGGGGCTATAGGGAGGGTTATATGGAGTAATAGGAGGAGTTATAGGGAGGGTTATATGGAGTAATAGGGGGAGCTATAGGGAGGGTTATATGGAGTAATAGGAGGGGTTATAGGGAGGGTTATATGGAGTAATAGGAGGGGTTATAGGGAGGTTTATGGAGTAATAGGAGGGGTTATAGGAAGGGAGCAATAGGGGGAGATATAGGAGTGGGGAGAATAGGGGGAGTTATAGGGAGGGTTATATGGAGTAATAGGAGGAGTTATAGGGAGGGTTATATGGAGTAATAGGAGGGGTTATAGGGAGGGTTATATGGAGTAATAGGAGGAGTTATATGGAGCACAGGAGGGCAGGGAGGCCAGGAAGGAGCTATAGGGAGGGCTATATGGTGTAATAGGAGGAGTTATAGGGAGGGTAATATGGAGTAATATGAGGGGTTATAGGGAGGGTTATATGGAGTAATAGAAGGGGTTATAGGGAGGTTATATGGAGTAATAGGAGGAGTTATAGGGAGGGTTATATGGAGTAAAAGGAGGGGTTATAGGGAGTTATATGGAGTAATAGGAGGAGTTATATGGAGTAATAGGAGGAGTTATAGGGAGGGTTATATGGAGTGATAGGAGGAGTTATAGGGAGGTTATATGGGAGCACAGGAGGGACAGGGGAGTGGCTATATGGAGACAGAAGATATAGGAGGGCTGGCATGGAGCAACAGGAGGAGTTATAGGGAGGGTTATATGGAGTAATAGGAGGGGTTATAGGGAGGGTTATATAACAGGAGGAGTTATAGGGAGGGTTATATGGAGTAATAGGAGGGGTTATAGGGAGGGTTATATGGAGTAATAGGAGGGGTTATAGGGAGGTTATATGGAGTAATAGGAGGGGTTATAGGGAGGTTATATGGAGTAATAGAAGGAGTTATAGGGAGGGTTATATGGAGTAACAGGAGGAGTTATAGGGAGAGTTATATGGAGTAATAGGAGGGGTTATAGGGAGGGTTATATGGAGTAATAGGAGGGGTTATAGGGAGGGTTATATGGAGTAATAGGAGGGGCTATAGGGAGGTTATATGGAGTAATAGAAGGAGTTATAGGGAGGGTAATATGGAGTAATAGGAGGGGTTATAGGGAGGTTATATGGAGTAATAGAAGGAGTTATAGGGAGGGTTATATGGAGTAACAGGAGGAGTTATAGGGAGGGTTATATTGAGTAATAGGAGGATTTAAAATGAGTTATACTAATTAATTATAGGGAATATTCTCATGCTGCTGTGTAGTAATTGTACCTGCATGTAATGTTTTCTCCATTCGAAGTACTAAATATTATAGTAACTCGGACATTTTGGGAAACATATATACTTAAATGTGCTCATTGTGTCAGGATACGTGTTGAGCAATTTTTACTTTCATTTTTTGGAACATAATAGCCCTTTCATACAAACGTCAAAGTAAAAATGATACATTCACTTCCTGGACATAAACTCATGCACTTTCTTTTCAAAGACCAGTAATCCATTTAATGCGGCCTACAGCTAAGAGGCTTCAAAGGGAAATTAGTGTCATTCCGAATGTAATAGAATTATCACAGACAGATTACTGTACATGAGCCCCATCCACTTTCATACCCCTTTATACAGAGGGAAGATGCTGAGATGAAAATCGTGAATGAATATTGATTTATTTTCTCATTGTGACCCAGTCGTCTAGCTTATTTAATAATTATTTCTGGAATGCAAGGCTGGTTCGTTAATCACAGGACGCAATAGAGGAGGAATTATCTGCTGAATGAAGGGGAAAATGGTGGATAAGTTAGTCAAGGTGATCTGTATACACTGCGCAATTTATTGATATGTATAGACGTCGCCTCATACAGAGACATATAATATTTCACACTGTATAGTAAGTAGGAGATGAGTGCCACTCGATAACATGCAGAGAAAGATTATCACGAAGGATGGGTAGATAAATAAAATACAAAATAACATATCATGACATGAACAGTAATATTGCACACCATTACTTATACATTAACTAGCAGAGCCTAGCATAACTGCCAGTGCCTTGCATGTGATAATATTTGGGGAATAAACTTGGGGAGCGTTAATCATTAAACCAGCAACGGGAAAATAAAGTTCTGCAGCGCTGTACAATGAGTGGACTAACAGACACGTATTTGTAGCCAGGCAAGTGGGCGCACAGCAACAGAGGGATTGAGGGTCCTGCTCAGTGAGTTTACATGTTAGAGGGAGTGGGGTATAGTGACACAGTAACAGAGGGATTGAGGGCCTGCTCAGTGAGTTTACATGTTAGAGGGAGGGGGGTATAGTGACACAGTAATAGAGGGACTGAGGGCCCTGCTCAGTGAGTTTACATGTTAGAGGGAGTGGGGTATAGTGACACAGTAACAGAGGGATTGAGGGCCCTGCTCAGTGAGTTTACATGCTTGAGGGAGTGGGGTATAGTGACACAAAGGGTAAGGATAAGGTAGAAAAGTAGGTTGCTAGGATAAAAGAATAATAGCGAACCAAATTAAGGTCCTAAGGGGAGAGTGACAAGAAAGAGGAGAGGATGCCCTACCTTTAATGATTCTAAGGAAGAAAAAATTCTAAGGCTAAGGGGGGGCTACAGTGGTTATGGTGTCTGGTGTGGTGCTTATAGTTTATTGTGTGGTATGGTGCTTATAGGATGCGCGATTGGCAGAGGTACCCAGTCGGGGTGCCAGGCAGTCTGACACACCTATATCTTATGGGAAGCCAATCTTGGGACTAACAAAGGGGGGAGGTGTGGGCGGACAGGAAGATGAGCATCACAGCCGAATTCATTATGGACTGTAACGGGGCAAGTTGGGAGCACATAAGACCACTGAGAAGCGGATTACAGTACTCAAGGCAGGAGAGGACACAGCATGGACACGCACCTTTCCCGTATCAGGCGTTAAATAGGGTTGGATGCGCGCAATGTTTTTGAGATGGAAGCAGCAGGATTTGGCGACATGGCGACATGACATTTGACATGAACGGTATGTAGCGGAGAGCTGATATTCCACGGGTTATCTCCCCTCAAGATCCCAGTGAGGCTGAGGAACAAGTATTAAAAATCCATAACGCAATAATTCCAGCAGGCAAGACAGTCCAATAATATCCCAACATCAATCCCAATGACTGGACGACACACAGCATCAGGAGCAGAACTGAACTTTTAATCACACAACCTTCTTTTAATGCTTTCTCCCATACAGTTCCCCTTGTTTTCTGGATGTAGCCCTAAACATAGGGGTACCCCTTTAAATATTACATCCCCTGGTAGCCCCGATCTGGGTGAGACACATATCCAAAAACCACCCTGGAGGTACTAAAAAGACCGACCACGCTGGAGTTAACAGCCGAAAAGGGTCCCATACATTTTGGCCCTGCGGTCGGTCACAGAAAAGGGAATGAAACACACGAATGTCTTGGGTTATGAGAACTAGGGAGGATTCGGGTAAATCCCCTTGTTCGTGGGGTTCTTTCTACCGAACGGGGGGCCGTTCGGTAGTTTTTACACAAATTGGCGGGAGTGTGGAGGTCTCAGCGGTGTTTGCCTAACCTAGTGTCCGATTTGGGTTCCAGACACTCGACGGCAAAACACAGCTGTTCGGGAGTTTAAAATGGCCGCCGCCACGTGTTCGTCTCCAGAATGGCGGCCACCCAGAGGACAAAGTACACACTGCACGAATTGCCAGTTACCCTTTTACAACATTGTTGCGAATGCTAATTGGAGGCACACTTATTCCTGGGGTGGTCTGATTATTCGGTAGTTTCACTCGCATAATAACTAGAGTGATTTTACCGAACAATTAACCGAATGCTGCATACACTTGACATACACATGGCAAAATTAAACCGAAAACATACGTATATACATAATTCTGAGGACAGCCCAATGCCATCCGCTACACTGCTCCCCCTTGCCCACAAGCCGGCATACACAGTCTGATCCAGCACGGATCGGCTTGGGGATGTCTGGGATGCTCACGGATCATTTTTCCAAGTCTGCGTTACGGGCTCTGGTGCATGGGAAGTTGGCCTGGGGTTTCTACCCGGTGAGTGGCTAGAAGAGTGTATCCAGGCACATTAGAGAAGGTATCTTGCTTCTCTCTTAACAGCTGTTGTACCTCGGTACGTTCCTGCGGGCTCAGCCGGTCTCCAGTTGGGTGCATAAATAGCGGTCACCTCTTCTGAGCGTTCATGATAGGGCTTCATCATGTTCACATGGAGCATGCGTCGCCCTCCAGTCCCGGCGCAGGGTTCAATTATATAAGTGGTGTCACATCTCTGTTCCACCACTTTATAAGGGTCTTGCCAGGCGGCCTGAAGCTTATCATGGCAGACAGGTTTTAAAATGAAAACTTTCTGCCCAACCTGGAAGCTACGTAGGGGTAGGGGGCACTGATTATAGGTTTAACGTCACAGAATTTTCAGAGATGCTGAGTGACCTCTGCGGTGAACTGAGTACCCTGATCCGAGATGATCTCCCTGGGTAACCCCATCCGGGAGAAAATCTGCATCAGGGCCTCAGCCATGGTTTCTGCATGGATATTTGTCAGGGCCACCTCTGTTAAAATATATTTCTTGCCAGAAGGGCTAGGTTTCCGAAGGGGACCTATGAGATCTACTGCTAGTCTATAAAACGGTTTCTCAATTATAGGTAGGGGATGCAACTTTGCCTTCCGCCGGTCCCCCCTCTTCCCTACCCTCTGGCATGTATCGCAGGTGCTGCAATATTTACGGACTTCCTGTGCTAATTCCTGGCCCAAAGAAACTCTGGGTCAGTCGGTATCGGGTACGACTGACCCCCAAATGCCCGGATAGCGGAATATCGTGAGCTATCTGGAGCAATTCGGCTCGGTACCTCTGTGGAACAATCGGGTAGGACCCAGCTACCTGCTTGTCTGAATCTCTGTATAACAACTGCCTATCCCATACAAATCTTTCCCCCTCCGCCCCAGGTTGGTCAGAGGTGACTTTGTCTCTATATACCTGTAGGGTAGGGTCAGTAATCACCTCTGCCGCAAATTCGTTAGGAGGGGCCCAAGGGACACAGTCTAGGGAAGGGGAAGGCTCTCTTACCTGAACCTCCGGTAGTGTGTTGTAGTCCTGGGTGCGGGCCTGTTGCCTGGTGACCACTGGATGCGCTTCCTCAGTGGTTGCGGTTTGGGGTTCAAAAGCAGAAGTGAGCTTTCCCAGATCGTTTCCTAGTACCACCTCTTTGGGTAATTGTGGCATCAACCCCACTTCCACATTTCCCGACCCACTCCCCAATGCAAATGAACTCGTGCAGTATTCAGCTGGTATACGGCTCCCCCGGCAACCATGACGGCTACAGTCCTGCTGGTTTTGGCTTTGTCAGAGACCAAGTGGCTTTGGACCAGGGTTATGGTGGCCCCTGAATCTCGGAGTCCCTGCACAGCTTTTCCCTCCAGGTAGACTGTTTGCCTGTGATGTTGACGATTATCAGCATTTGCTTGTAGCGGGTTGGCTTCATGTAGTACTTCCCACTGTTCTATGGTAGTGACGGGAACTGCAGAGCCATAGGCGGTGGGTGTCTCGTCCTGGTAGTGGTGTGCTGCTGCTCTCGGTGGTGGGGGTGGACCTGGTCGGATCCAGGTGGATCGGTCTCGAAGCTGTGGGCAGTCCCGCTTGTAGTGTCCCCACCTCTGGCACTGGTGGCATTGCACAGAGGAGGGATGGCGGAACCTTGGTTGAGTAGCTGTGGGAGCTGGTGGGGGTAGTTGTCTCAGTGGTGCGTTTGTGCCAGTGGGAAAACTGTTTCCTCCTAGGGGTCGCACAGCTGGCTTAACACCCACAAGCTTGTGCTGCCTGTTAACCGTCCTGCTAGAATGGGGACACAGTCTTCCATATTTATTTTATGTACCGTGCACAGTCTCTCAAAATCTTGTAGGAAGTTGTCTATATCTTCCTCCGCTTCTACATACATTTTAAACGCTTGGTATGGGATTTTCGGCTTACCCTCTTGCACCATAGACACTGCTGGGCTTCTTTCCGGTGTTTGTGGCCTTCTTTGCCGCATTATAAACTCCTGGACCTCTGTCATCATCTTGGAGATGATCTCTATCGGTGGATTCTCCCCATAAAAGGACAGTCTGAATTGGAGCTGCCTTTGGAACTCTGCTTGCTCCGTTCCGTCTGTCGCATCCCTCTGTACGGTATTCTGCCATTACTTCAGAGATGAGTGTTGCCTTTGTTTTATTGCTGGCTGGAATACCTCTTGCTTCCAGAAGATCTTTCAGTGTGGATCGTTTTAATGTGGAGTAATCAATCTCCATTAATCCTTATTCCTTTGCGAGTCTGGATCCCACCGCTGCCACCAATGTAGCGGAGAGCTGATATTCCACAGGTTATCTCCCCTCAAGATCCCAGTGAGGCTCAGGAACAAGTATTAAAAATCCATAAGACAATAATTCCAGCAGGCAAGACAATCCAATAATATCCCAACATCAATCCCAATGACTGGACGACACACAGCATCAGGAGCAGAACTGAACTTTTAATCACACAACCTTCTTTTAAAGCTTTCTCTCATGCAAGGGAGGGATTTACAGTAATTACACAATACACCAATCATACATGAGTTGCCACCCACACATCCCCTCCCCTTAGTATGACACATAATCCCATTATGCATGACACCGTTCCCCTTGTTTTCTGGATGTACCCCTAAACATAGGGGTACCCCTTTAAATATTACATCCCCTGGTAGCCCTGATCTGGGTGAGACACATATCCAAAAATTACCCAGATCGGACCAGGGATTCGGGAAATTCCTGGAGGTACTAAAAAGACTGACCGCGCTGGAGTTAACAGCCGAAAAGGGTCCCATACATTTTGGCCCTGCGGTTGGTCACAGAAAAGGGAATGTAACACACGAATGTCTTGGGTTATGAGAACTAGGAAGGATTCGGGTAAATCCCCTTGTTCGTGGGTTTCTTTCTACCTAACGGGGGGCCGTTTGGTAGTCCTTACACGAATTGGCGGCAGTGTGGAGGTCTCAGCGGTGTCCCTGGCCACCCACAGTCCGGCCCCTTCTGTATGTGTAGCTAAGGCAAAGATTGCACACTTCCATGTTGTCATACCCGTCAGTTGGAGCGCTGACAGGTTAAAAGCAGTCAGCTGACACTCTCTGTGGCGAAACCAACCTCGCCACTGTGAACTGGAGAAGCCTGGTTGCTCGCCTGCTCGCTTTGGACTATGGCCCTGCAGGTTAAACTGTTTATTTCCCGGCAGAAAGGCTTATTTGTGTGATCTGAGTGCCATTCATCTAATAATGTGCACTCAGATCCAAGCTATCTGGGGATATGTGAAATGTCTGTGTGTTATGTGTAAATGTGACTTTATGTATTTTAAAGTGTTTTGTGTCTTTTTGCAACCATGTGCTTAATGGAGTCTTGTGTCTATCCTGGGAGATAATTGAATTACTCTCCAGGATAGAAGACTCTGAAACTGGTTTGGGCCAGAAAGCCATGCTTCATTTAGTCACAAAGGACTTTCCCTTAACTTTTGAACCCCTGGTCTGATTAGTGCCATTTTTAATATGTTGTTCCCCTGAATGGATTGATTGTGAATATGTAATTTTATGTGAATGTGATGTATGGTTTTAGAGTTATGAAAGTTGGGTAGAAAGTATGTTTTAACTGTATGTATAATTGAGTTTCCTCTCAGGATAAGGGGAGGGAATATGTGGGATGTAACTGTGATATGTGATTGGTTGTTTTGTAACGCCCTGTGGGCTGTACTATGTTTGTGGATTGGGAATAAAAGAGACTGTATGTGACAGTACAGAGAGTTCCTGTTTTAACCCTCAAAGTGAAGTGTCGTCTCATTATTGGGGGAAGGATTTATTGTATGCTGTTCCAGTTTGACTGCTAGGAGAGTAAACCTATTCGTATGGTTCCTATTCAACTGTCTACAGCATTCATATGCTTGAGAGCATTCATATGCTCCTACAGTTCGGTGGTTGTGGTGTCTGCTGCAGTGCTTGGAGTCCTCAGGAAGCGCTAGGAGCATCCTTCAACGGAGGTACCCAGTCGGGGTGCCAGGCGATCCGTTACATTGGTGGCAGCGGTGGGATGGCGTCCTAGTGCGAGGTAAAGCAGCTCAGAGACACAGTTCGTTTGGATTTACAAATTGAGGGCAACGCTAGCACACGTGCAGCGACCCTGGGAGCAGAGGTATCCAGCGACTTGGAGCAGACAAGTATGGAAGGCTCTGGCGATGATTGGATGGCCGAGGTGAGGCAGCGAGTGGCCCAGTATGGGGATGATTTACCCATGGAGGTACGCCGGGTGATCTGGAACCAGGTCACGGCCGAGCGAAACACAAGGCTGGCCCGAGAATTCCGGCTGGCGAAAGAGAGAGAGTATGCTCAGCGGAAGGAGTGTTATAGCAGCTGAAAGGGTTAATGTTGTAATGGACTCTAATCCCCTCGGTTCTCGATCCCTCGGTCACCATAATCAATGTTGATGGAGAATCATTTGTAAGCAATAACACACGGACAACAGCTTTACAAGACTCTCAAATGAGTGTATTCCAGAGCTGGCTTTTATACATAGTTTGCTTACATTAGCCATGGTATATGCAAATACAGTACAGACTATAAGATTTATTACTTCCTTGTATTACGTTATTCTGACAATGGAAAGATAAGCTTTTGCATACGTCTGGAAAAGAATATCCTTAAAATCGGAATGGGCAAGACATCCTGAAATTTTAGCATTGTCTTACATCCTATAGAAGAAATACCTTAGTCTGTCACAGTCAGCATATTGACTTTAAGTATTCAATATCCCTTCAGTCAGCAATAATCATGTTATAAACCTTATAAAAGCATAAAATACATATAAACAAGTTAACTATTTAATATTCTTACATTCCCCTCTTTGAGCAATAAAACAATTGCTCATCTTATCGATAAAATCTTACCAGGACAGAGAAACTTCCACATGGTATTTTCAGGGGTGCTAGTCACTCCCTGCGGGACTTTCATTAATTTCTTCACCTCGATTCCCATGTGGTAATTCCTAAGGCCTAGTTTAAAAATGGGTTGATACTCTACAGTGGCAGAGAGGAGAATTTCTAATTGTTTCTGTTCTGCATTATGGATTAATTTCTGTACTCTCTTCCTCAATGTACAAGTAAAGTGACAGTTATATAAAATCATACACAATAAAATCAGGACTATAATAACAAAATGATAGAAGAATGATTTCATTATCTGGGATCCAGTAGGGGACCAACCAGTAAAGCATTGTACCAATGATGGGCTAAATCATTCTGAATTTGTGAACTCACCTTAAGGAGTTCTCCTTTTAGGATATGTGTGGCTACCTGTGTGTGTTATCTTTGGGAAAAATATAGTCCCCTGTGTATGTGGGTGCCCACCAGGTTAAATTCTTGGCAAAAAGATCATAAACTGGTACTGGTAATGTGTTAAATTGACAAGCTAATTTAACATCCTTTGATAATGTATGATATAATGTTAAATAGCATGAGCATGAAAAACTGTGAAACATTACCAGTTAACCATCCATTGCATTTACTGGATTGGGGTTTTAGAAGTAACCAATCATTATCTGTGAGGTTACGCTTTCCTCTAATCTTCTCTAGTTTAGGAATCATTAGTGTGTTTTCTAATGCCAATCCTTGTTGTTGTATCCATAAATACCTGATGGCACAAGTACTCCAGTTACTTAGACCTGTAGTGAATTTCATAGTTGCAACAGTTAAATTATCTAAATAATTATACATTGATTTATCTAAATCCAATCCTGTAACCTGTGATTTAACAACAATTGGAGCCCAGTTTGCAGTAGCATGGAAACCAGTCCCTATATGCATGCTGGCTGTGTTTAACTTATTCTTGAGGGTCTCCATATCTATAACTATTTAGTATACCCATAGTGGTTCCAGCACCATCTAACAGTGTGTCATACCATTCCCTTTTCTGCCTTTGTTTGTTGTATTACATAATGTTACAACAAGAGTAGTGATTTTTAATGACACATGTACAGCTTGTAAGAAGGCAGTTGTATTAACACATGTGGACGGAATAGGTGTGTCTGTGTCGTGTTTGACTTTTGGTTCTATGGTAGAGGATAAAGGACAGTAAGGTGTAAAAATATAAGGTAGTGTATAGTTCTCAATTGCAGTGTCGTTCATAATGACTAACATTTGTCCCCTTCTCCGATTAATGATACCAGTTATATAATCATTATTAAAAGTAATAAGGCCTGTCTGTTTACATTGATATGCAACCTTAACTGTGCACATTTCTGCGTTATAAGATCTAACAATTTTCTGTGAACCTTTAAACAAACATAATGCATCGGTTTCATTAGCTGTAGACACATTCCATATGGGTAACTGGTACTTATAAGGGTTATTATTTATCCAATTCATCCAAATGCGTTCAGTGAATGAATGATTGCATATTACATGCTGATAGAAAGGTGGTGGAGAAAGGTTCTTGAGGGGGCGTGTGTGACGAATGCTAGATGAGGGGCTAAGGCCTAATTGGGCTGGGGGTATTGAAGAATTGTTCATCATGTCAGAGTCTTTTTCCAGAACTTGCCATTGACTTGTACTCATAATGGCATTCAAGGAACAATATCAGAGGGAGTATAACAACTCCAGAAAGCATAGCACACAACATAATCTTGGTCTCAGGTACGTATGATCCTCTCAATCTACGATATGGTGTAAAAGCCATGATGCTTCGCTAAGGGGGACTTCTTCTGTTTCCGAGCGAGGAGTGGTGTTGTCTTCCTTGGCTCCCCTCTTTGGACACAGCTTCACTCGGGATGCGTGAATCCAGATGTCGTGGGAATCTGTGAGGACAGCGGTTCTGGTTACAGCAATCACAGTAGCAGGTGGTCCAAAAGGGTATCCTCCTTTCTTGGTCCTGTTCAGCTGACGGATATACACCTTGTCACCGGGCTGGTATGGATGAGTAGGTTCCTGTGAAGGTAAGGGAAACTGCGAAGAAACATTGCCATATATACCATTCAGTTTCATCAACAATTCCTGTACATATTGTTCTTGTATTAGCTGTAAATCCCCAGACATTATAACAAGCGGTTCCCTGGCCCAGGGTGTGGGAAAAGGTCGTCCCATCAGAATCTCAAATGGAGATAATTTAGTCACCTTGTGGGGAGTCATTCTTATCTCAGCTAAAATAGCTGGTAGATATCTAGTCCAATTTACCCATGTTCCTGGGTAAATTCTGGGCTTTTCCTTAATAGTCCTATTCATCCTTTCAACTACCCCTGTATTCTGTGGATGATAGGGTATATGAAACTGCCAGGTAACTTGCAAGAATTTAGCAAGTTCCTGGGCAACCCTACTGGCAAAAACCGGGCCATTATCAGAGCCAATCTGCAGAGGGCAGCCATACCTGGGAATAATTTCAGTAACAATAATCTTCACTAGCATCTTCCCTAGATGTCACAAAGGCCTCATGCCATCTACTAAACTGATCAACTATGACCAGTAAGTATTGCTGTTTCTTACCAATTTTGGATACATGAATAAAATCAATCTGTAAGTGTGTAAAAAGAGCAGCGTTCACACGATCTTACAAAAGACTGTACATGCTGCCTGAGATTCCTAATATAAAATGAATTCATGAGGAATTGAATGGTGCTTGCTATGTGCCTGACTGATGAAAATAAATCAGCTTGCTTCAAGTATGCCTATTCTTCAAGTATGCCTATTCTCCCCTCTTTAGAGAACAGATCATTTTGATCTTTCTCTAAACCTTGTTTAATCCAAAAGACAGATTCTGGGTATTTAAAAAAAAGAATCTCATAACCACTGAAGCGCTGGGCTGTCATGTGTTGTGTGGTGAGATTTGTCAGCTGAGTGACCTGGTGACTGGCATAAAGTATTGTAGGATGCCCTAGTGTGATAGTAGTAGCAGTTTCAACAGCCATTGCACATGCTATCAATGCTCTGAGACACGCCGGCATACCCTGTACCGGAGCTCAAACTACTTTGGAAAAGAATGCTATGGGACGCATACCGCCTCCTTGCTCTTGTGCACAGACTGCGGCCATGGTTTTAAAATTGTCCCAAGCATACAAATGAAATGGTTTACAATAAACAGGTAGTCCTAAAGCCTGGGCTTGCACAATAACAACTGTAAGGGCAATATATGCAGCTAGCATGTCTGGTGACCAGCAGACATTTTCAGGGCTGTCAGAACGTACAGCCTCCCTTAGGATTGAGTCATAATGGGAGCATTCAGGGATCCATTGGCGGCAGTAATTAATCATGCCGAGGAAGGTGAGCAACTCCTTCCGAGTAGTGGGTGTAGGAATCCTCTGAATGACCTCAATACGTTTTGGACTCAATTGTCTGGTGCCTGAAGCCAGAACAAAACCTAAGTATTCAACCTTTGATTTACACAATTGCATTTTGTGTTTAACAACCTTGTGACCTACAGTTGCTGACAGTATCCACAGTGCTTGCCTCATAGCTAGGGCTACATAACAACAAATCATCAACATTTTGCAAAAAGGACGGAACCATGACCGATGGTCCATGTTTTTTAGAGTATGTTGGAGTACCAGCGAATAAACAGCTGGGGAATCCACATAGCCTTGGGTAAGCGTGTCCAGGTAGACTGACAGCCTTCAAAAAGTAAAAACCATAAGTAGCTGTGTCTCTTGATCAATAGGTATAGAAAAAATGCATTACTTAAATCAATGACAGTGAAGCAAGTGGCACCATGTGGAATGGCTGTAATGAGGGATGTCACATCAGGGACAATGGGTGAAATGGGCACAATTAAACTATTCAGGGCTCTAAAGTCCTGAACTAAGCGATATGCTGGCCAGTGGTGTTGGGAGTGGGTCTGGTGTTGTTCTTGCCTACAGGGCATATTTTGAGAAAGGTGGGGTTGTTGGGGTGTGTGGGGTTTCCTGGGGTTTCCTGGGGTTTCCTGGGGTGTGGACACTCATTCCTCCAGTGGCCATATTGGCCACAGTTGAAACAAGTGTTCCTGTCTATTCCTCCTTGGTTACCCCTGCCCCTATAACCCTGATTTCCCTGTCTCCATCCCCTTGCCCCTCTTTGACCACCCCTTCCACGGGCTTTATGTGCTCCATCCCATCCTCGCTCTCAGCCTGTGTAGGTGGCAATCCCTGAGCATAATAAGCAACCTTACTTTCCTAAATCTTTTCTTAATTCAAAACAACCTGCATTTTCCTTTTCTATAACCTTGGTAAGAAAATCTGAGCTATCCAAATTGGCCCAGTCTGAAATCAATTGTTTCACAAGCAAATAATACTGTGGCAACATATTACCAAGGCATGACTGTATTTTAAAGAGATCTATATCATCTCCAGACATCAAACCTGCCTCATCCTTCCAACACTTGTAAAATTTCTTTACAAAAATCATATTACCAATCTCTTCCTTTGCATCTTGCTTATATGCCAAAGCAGTGAATATAGACTACCTATTCTTCCATAATCCCAACATTTCAGCTTCCACCTTGTTCCAAATTTTAGCACATCTTACTGAAGTACTAAGCTCATAATCACCAATTCATTTCAAACCATATAACTCATACTCAGCATCCAATGTAATATTACACGTCATCTCACAAAGCAATATTTTTGTAAAAACACATAATGGGTACCCAGCAGATATGCCAATACAGAAATCACATTTATGGGCACACAACTACACACTCTGTCTCCCTCCTAGGAAACACGGATAGACACAATATAAAAGCAATCTTAAACTAACACCTCTAAATCTCCAACTACTCTTGGCCAAAACGCTAGTATTCAACAACTAATAAAACAGTTATTTGCTAGGTTATTTGGCTGTCATTCTTATCAGTATCACTAGACTGTGACAAACTGATTCACATATAATTTAAAACAATACAGCAACATATAAATTAAACCACTTTCAAATTAAACTGCACACTTATCACACATTATCACAATCACCATTTACACAAAATAAAGAGTTAACAGCTGTATTCATAACATATTATTGGAAAGTATACCAATTTTAGTTTAGATTTATTTTAGGTATTCTTATGTGTACATTTTCTTAATTAACTTCATTACTTTAATCTACTATAGTATTATATTTAAAGAAAGGATCCATTTATATAGCGCGCTCATAACTCAACTATTTGTATAAAACTTCCATTAACTAATCTGAGATGATGCTGCATCAACTTAAATCTTACAGAAATTGAACAAACATCTGGACCAGATTAAACAGACATGGTTTCACCTGAATCTTTCAGAACTCTCAGAGACTTAAAAATTTATACTATACCATGTTTTAAAGGCATGGCAAACCTTTAGACCGGTCAGTCTCCAAGAGCCCTTTGTAATACAGGTAAAAACCTTTTGTCCATGATGTCTGATTCAGGCTATATACCACAATTTAAAATAACACATAATGTGAGACATAGAAGACACAAGCAGTAGTTATTACACTGGATCATTTAAAAGGAACCTGTTGCAATAAAAGGTTAGTTTACAGTGCAAAATAAAGCATGTGTTGGACCGCTGAAAATGTAAATGTTGCTCTGTTATTTTCAAACATAAATTATATTTACAGTATGGATCCTCTGCAACAAACACACAGGGCAGGGAAGATGTGCTGATTGGTGTTTCTATACAATTAATCCCATATGGGGAATTAACTTTCAAATACTAATGAAGTGACTTTTTGTCTCAGTTATAAAATATACTGAGCTCATCATGCAAACAATGCAACACATTTACACTATCCCACTCTCATAATAAGTGTAGTGGGCTTATAGTATTTTTAAAGCAACAATCATACCAGGCACATAGATCCCATGTGAAATAACTTACAATAAAACAGAGTAATAAACTTATACTTCTATGCGACAGAAAGAATAAAGCAAAAAGATTTAAGTAGGTCTATCAGGTACAACCTATGAGTCATTTCTTTTCTAATATACAGTACTGCTATCTTGCAGAAAGATAAGTCCTGCGCTCACTCCCATCACTACTGGACAGCAGCAAGGACTACAGTACACATCAGCCCCAATATATGGTAAAAACCAAAGAAAAACAAGTTACCTGCGTTCTCTCCTTAATCCCTATGTATTTTTAAAACCTCCATTTGTTTAAAAGTACTGCTATCTTATATATACACATATACATATACACACACATATATACATACATATACACATATATACATACACACACATATACATGTACATATATTGGTCACTCAGGACATGAACTCACATTTCCCATACTGCTGACTCAGAGTGGGGACACTACTAACTTACCAAAGTGTGTCCCCAATATAGACAAACAATCACCCACAAAAAACACTTAAGACAAACAAAGGTGACCGGGAGAAAGAGAAGTTTGGGTTATACTTAAAGATCTACAAACCGTGCTACTCAGAACACCTATAGACTTAATAAACCAGAGACCTCTTATGGTCTCAAAACCTGTATCTACCTGAGATACCCTGTATCTATCTTAGATACTAACCTGGGTTACCAAAACCCTATATATTTAGACCAAATGTCTAATAAACCGGAGACCTCTTATAGTCTCAATATAAACCGGAGACCTCTCATGGTCTCAATATAACTAGAGTCCTTAGACCTTTCCTATCTACTGGATACAGACTTACTGAACCAAAGGGGGGTCATAGACAATCAGCGTCAAATAAGACACAAAAAGGCTACTCACCGCAAATGGTTTTGCTGATCCAACTTCTATCCCACTTCTAGACACCAAGCTGAAAGGGTTAATGTTGTAATGGACTCTAATCCCCTCGGTTCTCGATCCCTCGGTCACCATAATCAACGTTGATGGAGAATCATTTGTAAGCAATAACACACGGACAACAGCTTTACAAGACTCTCAAATGAGTGTATTCCAGAGCTGGCTTTTATACATAGTTTGCTTACATTAGCCATGGTATATGCAAATACAGTACAGACTATAAGATTTATTACTTCCTTATATTACGTTATTCTGACAATGGAAAGATAAGCTTTTGCATACGTCTGGAAAAGAATATCCTGAAATCGGAATGGGCAAGACATCCTGAAATTTTAGCATTGTCTTACATCCTATAGAAGAAATACCTTAGTCTGTCACAGTCAGCATATTGACTTTAAGTATTCAATATCCCTTCAGTCAGCAATAATCATGTTATAAACCTTATAAAAGCATAAAATACATATAAACAAGTTAACTATTTAATATTCTTACAGCAGCCGAGTAGAGGCTGCATCCGAGGAGGCTAGCCGTCTCCCCCTGTGGCGGCCGCAGGAACCCGAAGTAGGGGTCCTCATAGACTGGTCCTGTGAGGAACCACAACAGGCATGTGGAGATGGGACCGGCCCAGATCCCCAGCAGCAGCCGGAGTTGCCAGGTGCGGAAGCAGGTGGTCCTTACTCGCAAATGTTGAGGGACCTCACAGACTGGTCCTGGGCAGACCCACAGATGGCAGGTGGAGATGGGACGGCGGTCTCTCAACCGGCCCTACAGGGATGCTGGGCGGTCGGCCCAGATCTCCAGCGGCAGTATGTACCCCAGGGAGCTGAAGGTGCAGTCCTTCCTCCCCAGCGGCAGTGTGCACCCCAGGGAGCTGAAGGTGCAGTCCTTCCTCCCCAGCGGCAGTGTGTACCCCAGGGAGCTGAAGGTGCAGTCCTTCCTCCCCAGCGGCAGTGTGTACCCCAGGGAGCTGAAGGTGCAGTCCTTCCTCCCCAGCGGCAGTGTGTACCCCAGGGAGCTGAAGGTGCCGTCCTTCCTCCCCAGCGGCAGAGTGTCCTGCAGGGAGCAGAGACCGTCAGTCTCGCACCCCAACCACAGGACAAAATAATGAAAGGGGAGACAGCTGGTCCCCCTCTCCACCAGCAGAGAGAGTGTCAGGGAGAGGAGCCTGATACCCCCTCTCCCCAGCGGCAGTTTACAGTTCAGAGAGAGGAGCTTGTTACACCCTCTCTCCAGCGGCAGCCTAACCCAGCAAGGGGAGATGTTACACCCCCAACAGTGCAGATGGGACTGTAGTCTCTGCACTTACAGCACAAGGGGTAGGGACAGTCGGTCCTGTTCCCCAGCCACAGAGCGGTGTATCCAGAGGGGAGACAGTCGGTCTCTCCCTCCCACAACCAGGCTCCCACCAGGCTACTTCCGTGGTAGCACTGGCATCAGGGCAGAGTACAGCTGGTCTCTGCCCACTCAGCAACCCACCAAGGCAGCCTAACAGTTGCCCACACAGTCGTGGTGAGGCACCTGGACATGGACAAAGTTCTCCTCTACCCAGGTGTAGTAACCAGTTATTGTGGGTGGGCTGTACTGCTGTTTCTGTTTTGTGGGTGGGTTGCTGGACTAACCAGGGCACTGACCGGCAGGAGGTCAGATACCCTGTTAGTCTAGTTGGTAAAGGGGAGAAGTGTGGCGAAACCAACCTCGCCACTGTGAACTGGAGAAGCCTGGTTGCTCGCCTGCTCCCTTTGGACTATGGCCCTGCAAGTTAAACCGTTTATTTCCCCTGCAGAAAGGCTTATTTGTGTGATCTGAGTGCCATTCGTCTAATAATGTGCACTCAG